TAGAGAACGGTTAGCGACAGCAAACAAGATAACGGCTTTCGGCCAGGTAATCTTAAAATTCAAAGTATAGTCACAACGGAATTGGTAATACAGCGACCTGAAAAATTTCCAACAAATCGCCATTTGACATTTTAAAGTTCTAGACAAATTCTCCGAATGTTCCTTGATGATGTTAATATAGAAGTTTGGTAATATGAAAACATAAGTCTCCTGTGATACTAAATCGCATACCGGTCAAAAATTTATCTTGTAGTTCTAATAATTTTTTGCTGTTTGCAGTTAAAAATTCGAAAATTAATTACAAAATATTATTTATGAGCAACTATTCCCATAAGGATTCATTCAATGGTTTCGGTTGAATTGGCATTTCTGCAGATCTCCTTTTGCTCATTATATTTGCTGTTTCAAGATTCTCCAATTTATTACAACGTACAGTTTAAAATAAAGCCCCCCAAAATGGATGAAAATCGTCATTCTAGGTCTTTAAACCTATAAAGGGTCAATTGTTGACTAATTTGTAGCTCTTATTTTGTTGATCATTTTTATCAGTAAGGTTTCTCTCCACAATGGTTTTCTACAGAATGACAAAACAGAGCGAATAGGGCTTCTTCAGAATGTAAATATCTCACATGAACATGATGAAGTCACACACTTCTCATGCTTATTGTGACTTTTATTGAGATATCTATAGGTATTTGGTTTATTTCAAAAGTATACTGACATTTCCTTTTTTCTCTTGTCTGTTTCTTATGTACCTGTTTTATAATCTGTTGAACCCCAGAATAAATATCAGACTCAGCATAAGTCTTCAAACGTCTTGCGGGTGCAGACTGCGGAGAATCTTCAGCTTTCTTTATATAGCTTGGTACATTATCATTCTTTCCTGAAAATAATGTACATGTTAAGTTTAAACTCAAGTTATGCGGAGTATACAGATACCGTCTTCATATAGGAATAATAATTCAACATAAATGAAAATGAAATGCCTATTTTTAGTCCAACCTTCTTTCTTTCTGGAAGAAAACTTCCTTCCCCTCTTATTATAATATTATAGGACAAATATTGGTATCTTTATTCTATAATTTTCGATATTATCCTAAAACACTTAAAGGTTATAAATTTCATCATTAATTAATCAAGGGAATTTTGTCAATTGTATTTTAATTGACTGAACACGTCTATGCAAAAAAATATAATTTGCGGTCTGTTTTGGTGGTTGTGATCATCGGAAACAGTGATATAAATCGGCTATAGCACTCGTGAAGTATGTGGTATAATGTCGATTCGAATACTGACAAAACATAAGTAAGGTTAGGGGATGGATGAGCGCTCACAAACATGTTTAACTACGCCACATTCTTTACGTGCCTGTCCCTAGTCAGGAGTCTGTAGTTCAGTGGTTGTCGTTGGTTCATGTCTGTCATATTTGTTTTTCGTAAATTGTTTTGTTAAAAATTAGGCCGTTAGTTTTCTCAATTGAATTGTTTCATATTTTTCATGTCGGGGCCTTTTATAGCGGACCATACGATATGGGTTTTTGTCATTGTTGAAGGCCATATAGTTGCCTATAACTGCTTACATCTACTTCATTTGAACTTTGTTGGATAGTTGTCTCATTGGCAATCATACCACATCTCCTTATTTTAATATAAACTTTTCATTTCCCTTTAAGTTATTCAATATGATAACAAAAATGTAACTTATATGTTAATGCATAAAGATACGCTTAAAGTTTGATGAAGCCGTGGGCCAAAATGTTGTTTCCCTGTATTGGACTAGGCCAAATAGCTGTAATATTATCAACAAAACCATGTCAGGACTACGTTCTAGAATACAGAAAACAGCAAAACAGACCAATGTCGAGTTCCCTTCATGAATGACTTATATCGGTTGATCTGCGGTTAATCGTCGTAACGTTATTAAATAATCGACTCTTAAACTAGGGCATAAGAAAGATCACATATAGTATGGACTACATTGTCATGCAATAATAACATAACATGAATGTTTCACGAGAATCCGTTAGTTTGATTGGCTAACAACAATCGCGCGTTACTAAAAAAATTACCTTCATATCAAAATGAAATGTTACATTCGTGATGACACGTGCTTCCACAAAAAAGTGCACAGGTACATAAAAAAAACTTCATAAAACTTTTTATTTCATGGTCTTATTAGCGTAAAATTTTAATTATAAGAAATGAATGCTTCATTTTTAACTTTTATTGAGTTGATCGTGCACACTTTTTTTAGAATGAAGCGCTTCTTAAATGAAACACCGCAAACCTTAAGTAGTGCTTGAAATGATTTTGACAGACAACACATGATTGACAGATTGATTTAATACGTGTCCAATGTGGCCTGCTTTTAGAATACAAATAATTCCCGACAGGCATAAACGGAGATAGGGTTATGTTTCGTGAAACAGCACCCAATAACGTGTACAACCAAATAACATCGAAAAGAAAAGTCCTCTTAGTCAAGAAGCTTTATTTTTGAAATAAACACAGGGAAAAACCAAAGATTCTCAATTTAAATATGTGTTTGTCTTTAGATTACATTAATATTAATGAGAGCATACGTAAAAAGGACCTATTTCACACATTTTAATTTATTGTATCCCTGGAAGTATAAAAGCTACATATATCATCTTTCCTTTTCGATTCGCGGATGCATTTGAATAAGTTATAAATGCATGGAAAATGTCAGCACAATAGAATATATCGCCCTATTCCGTGTACTTCGCCTTAAATAGGAATTAAAAAAAAAAACCGAATACTGAAGTAATACATACATTAAAGCCAACATGAAATCATAAAAAAATTAATAAATGGGAAACCTTTAATCAACAAATGTCAGTCAAGTTTGTGTAATTTTCAAAAGACATGACATGACAGCAACATGCACTAGATTTCCGAAAAGGATAAAAAAAAAAAAAAACCACAGAAATATGAAAACGACAAGTTGTGATTAAGTTGTAGACATAGATATATTTATATCTTTGCCTAACCTGCTATTAATAAAAGAACTACAGATAAATAAAAAATGCAAACCAAAATATGATACAAACTTACAAAAAACAATGTTTGTGTGTGTGTGTGTTCTATATTGTATTGCAGGAATGATATGAGGTAGATTACCTCCAAGGGAGACGGAGGTTCACATCAGAAAATGCATGTAGGCATAAGAAATAATAATGTTTATAGGTCAGGATGAGTGATATTTTACAATAATTATTGATAATTTATTTGAAAAGGATGCCATGGCCTTCTTTAAGGGAAGGTAGGGGAAGAAATAATAATTTTCTAGCTCAGGAGAAGTGATTTTTTACGATATCTAGTGATTATTGATTTAGAAAGGATGCAATGGCCTCCTTGCAGGAAAGATTGGCGGGGGGGGGGGGATTTGGGGGTGGGTGTTATCAAAGTTAATATATCTCCTGACGAATACGATTGTATGTGGTATAATGGTTGTAAATATGAACGGTTGCAATGATATTCAAAGTTGAAGGTTAATGACTAAGTCACCTTATATTTCTATTGAATGATGTGGGAATTACCCTTAGTCGACAGTTGCATGTTGTAGTCAAAATATCTTGTTATGACGAAAACGAATATATATAGCGGATACATGTGGATCTGAACAGTTTTGAAGATTATTAACAAATATTGACGATGATTCAGCGGATGAAAAATGTCTTTATTGATAATGATATAAAAATGGTTCATATGTTATATTAATATGTCACGTATGTCTAATACAGAAGGCGAAATAACTATCATATAGTATTGCTTCGGTTAAAATTTAACAGAACATCCTGCGGATATAACGAGCAATTAAAATTAAAAAAAATCAATGTCGATTTCTTTGATGGTTGCAAAGGAGTAACGATAAAATGAAGAAACAGTGTATGGAAAGATAACTCTAACAAGAAAAGTGTACGATTAAACAGAGTCAACTGCGATAACATGAACAAGTAGTTGATGAAAAAAAAAAAAAAAAAAAACAAGAGACCAATTGACGGTCTTTCCTCCCCATATGCATTTTTTTAAAGGAAATTTTTATTTCCAGTTTAAAATAATATTTTTGGTTTAAGATATTGGCTAAATTTACGCTGATTCTAAACGTATATGGTTTCTTTATACTTTTGCTAAAAATAAGAGAGATAAGTAGGTATTTCCGTTTTACAAAATTTCACTTTTCGTTTCACTTAAACGTTACTCAACACTCATTCGGAAAATATAAGGTTCTAGTAATCCGTCCATGAAAATAAAGCAATTAGCTACTTCCGGTTTACAAAAAGGTCGCTTCTGGTTGACTTTCTTCAACGTCGTATCTCTGCAACCTAATGCAAAAGACCCAATAACAAGTTGCATCAAAGCTTAATATCTAAAACATCAAATTAAACTTTGGCATTAACCCGAATTTCAAGGTCATAAAGCAAGGACCTCTACTCAAAAGACCCTAGGTCTCAATGTACCTTTTTACCCAAAATTAATGATTTAACAATTTAATAAAAACATTTGTCGATATCTTATACGATTTTTAAGAGGAGCGGTAATAAGCCAAAAAATCTAAATTTAAATCATGAATTTCACCCTTGAACTTGCGAAACAAAAAAAATATCTCAACATCAAAAAGTGGCATAAGAGAGAAAAAAAAATAATAATAAGAACAAATTCAAAAGGTCTTTCCACGGAAAGTTAAAAGGATCTAATAATCAAATCTAGAAATACTGATTCTTTTACACCTACTTTTGTCATTCGCTTAGTATTTCGCATTATGTCGGGAAACTTATCTATAAATAATTCATATGAAATATCCAAATAAAGTGGAATAATGAAAAAAACACACCCATATTGAAAAAGAAAAAGAAATAACATTAATTGTTTCTTTCCATCTCCACATTATATGCTCTTCAGATATACATGACAGTCATTATTTCTAAAAAAAATGGGTGCTGACTTTAAATGCAAAGAACAATATGCACATGGTTATACCTGGATCTTTCATCCATTCAAGAAGGGTATTCCTGAAGTGACGAACAAGCACCGGTTCCCTGGCCATTCCAACCTTCTCCATTATGTCTTTAAATGTCTCATCTTCTGAGTTACATAACTTGATAACATCGCACTCACCTGAAAAATATTAGTCATACACGATTTAGAATGTTTTAGATGTTAAAGATAAATAATTTTTGTTGTGTAATTGATTTCAGATATTTTTTGTTAACTCAGTGTTGTAGTAGAACATGAAAACATGTTATGTCTTTTCGAAACCACGTCATTTATTGTCATATATAAACAAGATACATGTATGACTTAATTTTTCCTGTTGTAAACTTTCCATCTTTGTGTTAATCATCAACTCCAGTTATTTATTTTCCATATAGCAAGTTTTGACGAGTTGTTCAACCATTTTTCTCTGATTATTAACTTTTTCTTTGTTGTGTTAAAGCAAAAGTTCTACGAAACGAGGTTGTGGTCTTTATATCTAAATCATAGACCAGCTTCAGGATCTAAACATGAGATGTTTTGAGGCTTTCGCCCGATTCAGAATGCAACAAAATTTGACAAAAATAATATTTCCATGTGAAAAATTTTAATACTTTGTTTATGTTGTTTATCCTTGAATACACGACAGGTGCCACTGTGGTGCTATATGGTATGATATTTTGCAACAAAATACAGCTGAATTAACATATCAAAATGCAGCTCTTGTGTTTTAAACATTTGACAATTTAATATCGAGAGCAAACAAAAATCAATTTTGCAAAAATTATATGTAGGCAAACATGAGATCCAACAGTTTGCATCAATGATATGGCTGACAAATATAATTCCTCCTGTTAGACGTCATCAGGCATAGTCGCATTGTTTAGAAAAGATGGTTTGTTCATTAATTGGAATTGAATAGTTGGCAGTAACTGCGAGTGCTCTTAGATAAGAACTATCTGTTTTTGTTTTCTTGGGTTTGGTGTATCCGTATTGTTAGTCTGATGAATCACCTTTTTAACAGGTTTGTGTATCTTGTTTGTATGTTGTGTTTTACGCCATTGACCCAGGTTAGGTGAGTTGATCCCTCAAAAATATTAAACAACACCATATTCTTCATGTGTCCTTCGAAATTCAGACGTCTGTAATTCATTGTTTGTTGTTGTTGATTTTTGTCTGCTTTAGTTGTTTTTGTTATTGGTTTTTAGCATTAAACAGGCTGTTGTTTTTCTCTTTTGAGTTGTGTCATTTTATAGAAAATGAAAGGATATGGAGTGAATGTACATGGGACAAAATCGCACACAATACATAGAAAACATAGAAAATTATCAAATAACAGGGCTTTTATTCCTGTTCTTCATCTTGACAGTTGATGTAGGGTCTTCAACAATGAACGAATCACTCATACCCTACAACAAGGTCTATACTTGTTTCTCACTATATGGTAAGTGATTCGTTCATTCTTGAAGAAAGGTAAGAGCACTTTAGATGTTTACACCCTGGTTCGTTGGTTCCTGGATGATAGTTGTCTCAAGTTTTCCTTATTTTTATATAAACTTTATTTGTATATCAAATCTTCAAAATTCAGTATACTGTACCTTGTCTGATGAAGCTGTCATAGTACTGAAGAAGGTTTGCATTCTTTAGAACATAATGCAGCTGCCATTCTGACAAATTATGTGGTTGATTTGTTGCCATTCCGATTAATCATTCACCTACAAAAAACAAATCATGTATGATCTGATAAATACATGCATTTTAATGATATATAAATGTCCGACCTAAAAAAAAAAAAAAACGATTTGCACATTCAACATGTTTTCTTCCCGTTGAACTGATATTTCCCGACCTGTTTAGTCAGTTATGGTACACATTTGGTTAGATTGTTCATTGCAAAATATGAAAATATCAAAAGTGTGAAAACCCATGTATGCACACAATCCATAACAAAAGCATGTGTTTTCCCAAATAATGTTAGCTACCACTTTACACTGTCCTGAACTAGACAAAAATAGAAGGGACTATGAGTCATTTTTCTATATAGATACAAATTTTTTAAGATGATTTGGTAAACAAAAAATCTAACATTGATTTATGAGAATGGTGCAGAATATTATTTAAGTCTCATGTTAATTATTTTACGAAAACACACATCCATTCAAAGACTATTCTCATCTTATAAAGATGTCGGCCTACAAGGAAGTAAACGAGGACATATATAAACGTAAAGTATGTACATGAGTAGACCATTACACATACATAATCCGGAAACGCTGATAAGTATTTGAAGAGGACGCAGTTCTCGTATCAGCAGAAAAATCTATAAAAATAAATAATATAATAAATATACCAGTGAAGTTTTCTTTTTTTTAAATTTGCACAGAAACCAATTCCGGTGTCATGTTTTTCTGAAATACAGAAAGGAGGAATACTATTTCCCGGAATTTTCTATCTGATTACATTATAAAGGACCATACAGTTTTTCGCAATGTTTTCATATCTGATTACCAACAGTTATTATGAGGCAAGCAAACACTGTGACAAAAGACGAGTCTTTAATGATAATTCAACATACGATTTACTAAGATAGGAGACGAGATGCAACATGAGTTTTAGTGAAAACTCACCTGATAATGGAGATTGTTCAAAAATAAAGTATAAAAACTCTCCGCTGTGTCTATATTATCAAATTTCGTGTAGCAATATCTAAATAATACTTTAATAAGATATATAAAACGTATAGGCATGAGCGGAGGCTTCACCCTATAACATATGTTGGTACAAAATGTATTTGATAAATATGCTAGTATATGTAAAATATCTTTTTGGGTCAAGTCTTAGCTAATATCTCTTTTGTCCAAAAACTATGTGTAACATACACATTTGTTTGTCAGGAATGCTAATTTCTAAATGTTACATCTATAGGAGCTAAAGATATGTCAGTTTGTGCTACATATATTTACTTATTGTTTATATTAAACAGAAAAAAGTATAATGTAAATGCAGTAATATCTATTTTCGATGGCTTAGAGAAGAGACAAATCAAGAATACAAACAGTAACTGAAGGAATCGCATGCCATCTAAGAGGAGCGAGACTGGATGCTTCTACAGGGTAAGCGACTTCGTATATGCATGCATCATCCGCAATGATAAACACGTTTAGTCGTGTTTAGAGTTCAAGACCTTTTGAAGAGTTTTTTAGACACATTTAGCAGTTGACTTTGATCTGTACATTTCTCTTACAGTGTAGTTCACTTACCCTTTTCTTAAAGTAATCAAAGTATCATATTCCCTCATTTCAGCAATATATATACTGTTGTTTTAGTCGCCATAAACATCACAATAATGTAGAATAATTTGGCTAATATAAGTCTAGCAGTGTCGTGTGAAAATTATGTAGAATATTCTTTTTAGTAATATTTTCCTGTTAAACTACTTAAACATCACTCCACTTGTTTGACAATTGTAATTATTCATCTAAGCTACAATGTCGACCTTCCTGAAAGCTAACAAGGACATATTTGTACTCTTACTAGATAAACGATAATATCAGTACATTCGGGGAACTACGAAATACTTTGATAATAAATACATTTCTACAACGAAAGATAAGGATTGCGATGAACTATTTGTCTTATTCAAACATGATTGTTGGAAAATCTTTACGGATTTTAAACTACTTAAGAAAAAATTGTATTTAATTTGTTTTAAACTTTATATTTAAGATCATACCATTGTGTTATTTCCCGAAATAGCCTTAGTTTCTAGTTCACTGGGATATATGAGACGTCAGCACTCCTTGAAACGTGATTATGGGGTGACAGGACGTCATCAATATATATAAAAGTGAAATTAAAGAACTTTGCAAGAAGTTTTTGATTTTGTTTTTGGGAGGTTATGTATGTTAATTAAATATTCCTACAAAATTCGTATGTGAATATTGGTAAACATATACGGCCATTTTGATCCTAATATCATCTTACACATCTGGCCTAAAAATGTTCAATCTTGTTAAGAGGTCTAGACCTTTTGAAGAGCTTTTTCGACACGTTAAGCATTTGGCTGTGTTCATTTATAAAGTAAAATAACAAATACTAAACTCCGCGGAAAATTCTAAACGGAAAGTCCCTAAGCAAATGGCAAAATCAAAAGATCAAACACATCAAACAAATGGATAACAACTGTCATATTCCTGACTTTAATTTATCTTACGGTTTAGTGGACTTACATTTTTCTTGAAGTTATAACAGTGCTGTATTCCCTCCTTTCAGCAAAATGCATGCTGTTGTTAAGGGCTTTTAGTGGCTTTAAGCATTACAACAATGTAGAATAACTTTGTTAATTAAAGTCTAGCATTTTCATATGAAAATGCTGTAGAATATTTGTTTTAGAATACTTTCTTGCTAAACTACTTGAATATAATTGAATCTGTTTGATTCATCTAAGTTAAAATGTCGAAATTTCGGTAATTTAACAAGGACATAATTATATTCTAACTAGATATACGATTATATCAGTATATTTCAGGAGCTGTGAGATGCTTTGATAATAAATATATTATAAAACAGCAGATAGCGATTGAAATGAACTATTTGTCTTATATGTTTGTTGGGAAATCTTGATGGATTTTAAACTAATTATAAAAAAAAAATATTTAATTTGTTTTATCTTTATAATTATATAAATCCACATACATGTGTTATCTCTCCTCGCGAAAAGGAGGCAGGTCAAACTAGCAAAATGGAGGGAAAAATATCCAGAAGAACAACATTTGAGTATCATTTCCTTTGAACAATTCGGGTCCCTGGAATCGAAAAGTTTTTTCAATCTACGAAATAGAAGACATATGTCTGATGGAAATGAATATTCAAAGTTTTATTTTTGTCTTATATTTTTGCATTTAGGCTTCAAAATGTAAGTGCAAAACCACAAACACTGCCAAAATAGCCTCATTTTGAGATGCTCGCGTTAATGTATAAGTATGTACCAAGGCTTCATCCTAAAACATATTTTGGTACACATTTATTTGATCAAGATGCTAGTAAATGTTAAATATCTTTTAGGGTTAAGTCTAAGCTAATATCTCT